GGATAAGAATGAAAAGATGTTACATACAACGTTTTGCACCAACAGTAGCGATAAAAAAAAAAACATTTTAAAGTTAAAATTTTATTTCAGAATTGGTTGATGTACGTATGAGCAATAAAAAAATTCATTATTGTTTTTTTTTTTAACGCGTTATATGTTTTTATAAAAGGTACTATTTTAATTTTTTATAACATATTAATAAACTAAAATGTCAGAAATTTTTTTTTATGTTTACCATGAATTCATATTTCGTAAATAAACGAGAAGAAAGTGAAGAATATGAGAAAGACCATGCCATTTTTTTTCTTTTAAATAACCTCCATGTATATATTATAATAATGTACATCATATAATTACATTTAAAATATTTTTTAATACCTTAATTAGGACCCAAAATATTGTTGTTTCCACTTACCTAAAAAAAAAAAAAGAAAAGAAATATTAACATAAGATTAAAGTCCATAGTAATAACAAAATCATAAAATTACCTATCATATTAAGTTTAAAAAATAATGTTTAGTGGATTTACTGATGTGTATTCTCATATATTAATATTTATCCTCAATTTTTCTATTTTTTTTTTAAGGGATGGAATCCTTTAACTGCATAGATGTTCCGATTTGTAACAGGTCTATGAAGATTTAAAAATTATCAAAATCTAGTCTGGGGGCTCACTAGTTGTCTTCTGTTATAAGTCAAACTTAAATGAGAATTTTCTAATAATGCTAAAATAATGAACGGATGTTAATCTACCATTAAATAACTTTCGATGGATGCACGAGCATTTAATTTATGAATATCAATTACCAAACAAATTTTGGATTTTTTAAAATTAGTTTTCCGGTAATGGTAAAATTCGGAATTCTAAAGATATTTCTATCATAAAATGAGACAATGATACTGGGATAGAACCAATAAAAAATGTATCTCAAAATAGTGCTTAAATTAGACAAAATAAAAATATTTCTAGTAAGGATTTTATTTTATGAATTGATATTTGATTAAAATTTCCAAGTTTAGACAACTCAAAGAAGAAACTAAAATATAGCGAAATAGAAAAGAAAGCTGTACAATCCATCATAAATAATTGTTGTGACTAATCTTAAATAGGTTATAAAATTTAATAAATCGTCACTCAGTTTGTTACGACCCAGTAGGTTGGAAGATGAGAACAGGAAAGATTTCACAACATAAGGAAACTTCCGAGGAATAAGTCACAACAAAGTGGCAGACACGGGATAATAATTATTTACAATAAATTGACCGAAACCTATTGGCAAGCTGGAGGGATGGAATGTGTAATTTAGAGATTAAAAGAAATATTCACCGTGGTCCCTAAACAATGAATGGATATGTTTTACGTCCGTCGGAGAAGCTATCAGGAGGTAGTTCATTGATATTTTTTTTTATTTATTATAAATTCTAGAAGATTTATTTCCAGTACATTCATTGATCTTGAATTTAAAAATTCGTTTGAATATTGAAATATAATTTCACACAATGTTTCTCACCTCAGGCAAATACCTAGTGTGAATGCATAAAAACAACACTGTCCCCATAACACACTTCCCTAAGAGCAACTTAATTCACTTTAAAAATTCCAATTCTCTGACTCAATTCGGTGGAGCTTTTGAGATGTACAAAACTTTAAGAACCGCTTGAATATGCCGAAATTCAATAAAATATGCATGATATTGTTTTCCTCAATAAAACAACCTTTTTACTGAATTTAATTATACTAGTTGACCAGTGCGAATAATTTATAATAATGCGATAGTAGTACGAATAATAATTAATCAGTAAAGAAATGACAGAACAGTAAGGGAATGAATAATGCAACGAATCATAAGCTGAAGGAATCAATTTTCGTTTTCTTGGTAACCGTAATCGATCGAAGAAAAAAAATCATTTCAAAAATTCGTTCATGTTTTCAACCAACATATTTACCCTAAAATATTTAATGACCTATAACTTTACTAATAATGGTCCGAATTCGATGAGTTTTTTTATTGTTTTGTAAGGAATTTAGTACTCCTTCAAGTAATTATAAGTACAAAAAAATATGTATACTTTTAGAGTTTGCTAATGAAGTTTCTGGATAAGTTTTTTTCCCGGTCATTTCTCAGATATGTGATCATTTTTACACTTACATAGGTACTAAACAAATAAAAACTTGTCTCAGGTTTTTATTGTACATTTCCAGTTCTAGCATGTTTACGAGAATCCGTTTTATGCCTTTTTGTGTAGTTTTTGTGGTTCTAAATTCCTGCTAATTTTCTTTTATATAGGAGGAATCATGTTTTATGTTTTATAAAAATATTTTTTATAAATATGGCTCCGTGATCTCCTATTGTAGACATATTATCAGAGTGCTACCAGTCGGTACTTTCTCAGCAAGTGTTTTCATGCCATTATTTTCATTTTTACAAATTTACTAGATGTATTTCTTTAATTTAGTTGTTAATATCATTAATAAATAAAAAAAAAATTAAATAAGTTATTGAATTACCGTGACAAAATAAGTCATTTTAAATAATTTTCAGGAAAGCTGGTTTTACTAAGATAAATTAAAGGCTAAGTAATTTTAGTAGTGAAAATAACATAACTAAATGTATAATATTCTCATGGCAAGCATTTTACAACGAAATTTTTTATGCGTTTTTATGACTGTTGTTTCACTTTAGAATATTTGTTATCGAATGGTACTAATGACAAAACGTCGTAATATATATGAAATAAAAACATCTTGTTGAAAAATTTTTATCGCTAAAATAAAATTGTGAGAGCAATGCGGTTAAGATAAAAACTTAATCGGAGGAGCTTCGCTGAACTAAACACCTTCCCCCTAACCGAGCGCTAGCTCTGCTATTGTTTCCTTAGGTCAGATTTGTGCTCTTAAATTTATAAAATCAAACAAAAATACCTTTTCTTATAATTAATTTTTTTCCTATATGTATAAAATAAATCAAATCACTTTATTATATAAAAAAGTTTTTACAATAGTTACCGAGGAATATTTTATTTTACATACCCAAAGTGGGACAGAACAAAACGAAAACACCACACTTCTTATTCTAGAACTATTTTTCTGTTATTACGGTTACATATTCACAACAAGAATAATTATAATTATATAAATTGGCAATAAGGCGCGATGTATAATATAGATTAAAAATTTGTCCTAACTGTGGTTTCGTTCCGTTTATTTTATGTTGTAAAATAATACAATCTGAACTACAGAATACATGTAAATTACAGTTGTACAACTTGAAAAACTAATAGTTCAATTAAATGAACAGTTGTATAATTTGTAAGATGGGGATAGGAGGTACACCCTTGTCTTATAAATAAAATTCTTACATTCTTATGCAACTTTCCAAGTATTATTTTTTTTTTTTTTATTAATGTTGTGTTTTTTTCCTTAATCAATGTTTAAATTTCCTTTTCATATATGTTATATTTTTACTTAATTTTACTCGTATTAATGAATACGGATCAATATTCAGTATATCCGATTTGGCCCATCCAGATACCTATCCTTCCATAATAAACTACATAAACATCCGAATCCACTGATTTCTAACCTCTTCGATTTCTGATAACTCCCTGAGGCGTCTGAAAAGAAGATTGCCTCGTGATCTCCTTATGTAGACATATTACTATAGTACTACCAATGGGTAGTTTCACATCAAGCGTTTTCATGTGATTATATTCCTCTGGACACATTTACATGATGTATTCATACCAATACAGTTTTTTTTTAAGATTTTTTTTGGCTTTAAGACTTGTATAATAAACTTCATAACCATCCGAATCGACTTATTTTTAACCTCTTCGATTTCTGATAACTCTCCGAGGCGTCTGAAAAGAAGATGGCCTCGTGATCTCCTTATGTAGAGTACTACCAATGGGTAGTTTCACATCAAGCGTTTTCATGTGATTATATTCCTCTGCACGCAATTACTAGATGTATTTATACTAATAAATTTTTTTTGTTCTTTCTTGGCTTTAAGACTTGTAAAAGGTGATAGTAAGGTGAAATTACACTGGATATTTATTAATTATTTATAGATAGATGATCACTGAATGTAACTAAATATTGAATATAACTTATATAGAACTTAAACTAGAAAGACTAATAGTTAAAAACTGAGGTGACGGTAGTTTCATAACAATTAAATGAGAATAAGAGACTACTTTTATTATATAACTGCTTTTATGTCATTCAAAAACTTTATCAAGTCACGGACGTTATCTTTATTCATTAACCGAAGAAAGTTAGCTTCATGATCCGTGGTTTGCGATCCTAAACTAATTCTTCTTCGTTTCTCGAATCTTTTGCACTTGAAGGCAATGTTTCTTGGATCCTGCAAGCATTGGCATGTTAGGACTAATACAGTTGTAAATATTATAAATAAAAAAAAATATATTCAGCATAAAACAGTACGGCCACACTGTTCTGACCATTATGGAGCTTTCCTTTAATTTTGTTCTTTGTTGACTCCATTCCAGAATAATAAAAATATTATATTACAAAATTATACTGATGAGGAAAACATCTTTAAATTTAGGTATGGAGGTTAATGTGTCTTATTATATTTTTCGAACATAAAAGTAAGGTATTGAAAAGCGATTAGGCTGATTAGAGGATCAGAGAAGTTGATGATAGAGTACGATACGACAGGGCGCAGACTGAGACACTTTCGTCTTCTATGACAAAGTGGAGCGTAGAGACAATGTGGAAAGCAAAGAGGAAAGCGGCACACTGACCTAATTTCTCTGATAGTCACCTAATGCTCACAATTAAACCTCTGCCGCCTAGATATGATATTACTAAAAGCTTTGGATAAGTTAGTTTAGATATTTCTCGATCTAGGTTTGTTTTATATTGTCAATTGATCCTGTCTAGGTGGTGCCCAGCCTTCGTTGGTGGGGTTTTACATCACGTGGAGACTAAATACTCGCTGCAACCAAGGATAACTACTTGCTGTTAGCAACTTTCAATAAGAGGCGTACAGAACCTGAAAGCTAAGAACTAGTCCACCTGTAGAGAAAAATACGCTAATATCGTAAAGTAATGTCGATGGTAAACATTGAAAATAACTTATTGTTACTCCATTCTAGTTAATTTTAATGGACAAACAAATAGGAATTTTAAAAATGTATAAAGAGATGCAAATCAAAAGATTATATTCTTAGTAGGAAGAAAAAATACAATATTTTATATGAGTCGCTTAGCTATTTCCAAAGTTAATCCTAATCGATGTTTTCCGAAATAGAGATAAGTTTTGTAAAAATATTCAGTGAATCCAATGGTGCATATTAACAAAAATAAAATTATTCGTTGTTCGAATTAAACGTATCCTGAAGCCTCAAATATTGAAAATAATAAACCAAAATTAACCTAAGTATTAAAAAAAAAAAAAAAAAGTAGTGTGGAAATACGTTCATTTCCGAAACTGGCATTTTTTTTGCAAGAAATCTAATGTGACTTAATATTTTTAATTGAAAGTATTCTTAAAAACTAATTCATTAAAACCTTGTTTACTGTTTTATTCACATGAAATTTAAAAATAAAATGATTTTACCGTAAACAAAAAGTTATTTTTTTATAGTGTAATTCTTAAAACGTTTTTCTCCCTCGAATAACATATCATTTTTTCTCAACAAACTGAACGACAATCAAACTTCTTTGTTCAAAAACGGATTTTGGTGTTAAATCCTTTCAAAAACGACCCTATTCAAGTTTCAATCCTTTTTAATTACTATTGAAATAATCAAGGTTTTTTTGAAAATATTTTCTACACATAATGAATTTCTTCATTTTTTAAAAATTGGTGTTCATATTGCAGTTTAAATAGGAAATATAGTTTTTTCAGTTTTCAGAGAATTTCATTTATTATTAGTGTTCACTTTGTAAATAAATAACATATTCACTAGTTACCGCTACAAGGTTTTATCCCAAAGAGTGGAAATGCTGTGCGATTTAGTTCCTAAATAGGAAACTAGATTGCATTGGTGTGTAGAATGTAGGTAGCTTATTTAGTGGTTTTTAAATCAACGGACTAATTCATTAATAAAAATGTTTCCAAACACAGTATTCGGCCATTTTTTCGCAGAAAGTCAATTAGTAACATTTTAGAAAATTAAATCACTAAGTGATTACATGAAATTATTATCTTCATCAGAATATTGTGCATTTATTGTAACTATTTTTGTCATATAATAATATAGTTTGTGACATTTTGAATCTTTCAAGGAGTTCTTCATCGATAAATATGATCGAAATTCACAAAAGTGTATTTAAAAACGATAAATGTACGAAAATTGATCATCATAATTTTAAAAAACTAGACTTTTACTTTTAGGTTTTTATATTAAGTTTTTGTAGTCGACGATTTGTTTCAATTTATATTACATTGAAGGTTAGAGCAATGTGTAGCTATTAATTTGTTTCAGCAAATTCGAAATCGACTCGAGAAATTTGTAAACACATACAACATTTTATAAAATTACTTTACTTTATCCAGTACAGTGGTTGTTTTGTTTCTATTTTAACCAAAAATATCGTCAGTTTATTGCAAAAAAACATTAAAGAACATTAATATGAAAAAACAAGACTGGATGTTTAAGTTTTATGATAACCATTGGTGGATTTTCGTAAAGCAATCTGACATCATTTTTGAGCAATATTCTGTGAATTATAGACTATAGTAGTAATAATGAATTTATTTTTGAATATTAATAAATAAATTTTACAAACACAATACATGGCCTTAAGTCCATTTTCAGAGTAGTTAGTGCAGTAAAAAACATAAAAAATATCGCAAAACAATATTTATTTTGTTTACTTAACTAATTATTATTTATTTACTTTTATTTATTTATTTATTTAACATTATTGTCAAAAAAAAAGGAGATATACATATAATTCCAAGCGTTTTGAATTTGATCAACTCTGTTTGTTGGGCTGAGTAGTAGAATACTTAAAAGATTAATATATTCTGAGCCGACTGATGAACGTCCGAAAGGCAGGCCGAAGCGAAGGTGGAAGGATTGCGTTAAGGCTGATGTTGCGGAGTTGGGTTGGGACGGCGATCAGTGGAAGGAAGTGTATATACATCTGATGAAGTAAAATAAGCAATTTTCAAATGTATAAATATCTAATATGAAGGTACTCATAAAATGTATGTTTGCCTGTTTCTATTAATGTGTTACTTTGTGGAGAATCATAAAGAATCATTGTTTTATCTTCATTACAATTTGTTGCGAATTACTTTTAAAAGGATGTTATTTTCCACACGATCCTATTTTAATGTGAGAAGGATTATGAATTAATTTTTAAATTCCGATAGTATAATCTTTAAAGAATGGTCGTAAAACGTTTTATGACAGATATTATCTGTTTGAAGCAATCCAGGCTAGTTATCTCTTATAAGAAAAATTAATCGGAGAGTTGTTGGCTGACGGAAGTCGGCTATTATATCAAGGCAACTAAGTAAAACGATAAAGCCTGACTTAGACCCGTTCCGTTATTTTAATCTTCATAAGAAGCGAGACTGTTCCGTTTTTTCGACAGTTGATGGAAAGCTGAGAACAGTTATTTCACGGTAACGGCCAAAATCAGATCGACTTTTTCTCCGCCGTTTTAGGGGGCTGCCTCAAAGGGGTTGATGGGGCGTCGTCTTCGTTCAATGATCGCCTGCAGTTTCTTTCCCATGCAGGAGGTTTAAGAATAACGGATGAAAGTTTTATCAAGTAACTGACGTGAGGAAAATATGAAACGGCTATAGAAGATAGAAAGGGATCCTGTGTGCAAAATGATTACAATTTTTTTTTGTCCATTAACATTTATTTCTACCAGTTTAGCACAATACGCAAATGGGCTGACAATTCAAAAAATAATGACAGATGAGGCATGGACGGGGGGGGGAGATGTAGTTTTTAGTAGCACTTCTTCTCTGCTTTGATTTAAATATTTAGATTGTTTAAGAAAGGTGCCTTTTTGTTTCATCCTAATTTCTGTCATAATGCTCATTTTTAGTCTCTAACATTTTTAATTTCAAGGCCATGAAGCTGTTGATATTTTTTACTTTTACGGTTAGTTCAGTAACGTTTAACTATTTATATTTTTTCATTCGGTCTTGTATTTACTTTAAAAGTTAGAGATGTATTAGAATGATGTCCTCAACCGAAAATTATGGCTGCTATTCGTTACATTTATGGTTTTTCCTAATGAAAATTTCTTATCCTAGAGTGCAATAAGCCGTTCCATAAATAAAAACCTGAAAAAACCTATATCCAGAAGAAAACATATTTGACTCTATTTTAAGGAGAAAAAATGACTGGACTCACGTATAAAACGACTAACTTCACAAGTTATTAGAAATAATTTAAGATTTACAATAATATATTGTACATGTAAATGAGAAATACATGATTAAAGATAAAATGATGAAGACAAGAATGATCTATACTATTTTTTTTTTTTTTTTTTTGGTATATGACTAAAATGAGTCTATATAAAAAACCTAAGTGTATAGTCAGCTCAAAATAATTTGCGCTAAAAATGGAGAGAGCTGTTTTTTCCAAATAAAATCAAAGTTGGGGATGTCTTTTATTCCTAATAAGTTTGTTTTAAAATATTCAAATTTAAGCAATAAACCTTTCGATGACAACCATTTTTGTTTTGTTGGTAAAATTTGTTTTTATATTTTTTTCCAATTTTATTTTTATCAATGTTGTAGGTAGAGGAGAGGAGAGCTGCGCAAGCGTTTCTATGCCCACGAGAGAACAGGAGATTAATAAAGACATGAAGGCAGGAGATATGCCTGGAAGATCAACGGACCATAATGGTGTTGAAGGATACGGCTTCGACATTACGAAGGAATAGACCAATATAACATACATTTACAAAGGATAATAGATTGAATATACACTCCGGAAACCGCATAATGTCGAAGGACACGGAAGATGAGGGGAAAAATGGCATCTATAAAACATCTATTTCAACGATAAACTTACTTCCTCCTCTATAAGTGATTGAAGAAGAAGGACATTCTGGTCGCTACTAATCTTGAGAATAAAGCATAAATTAAATTGAGCAACAATCTAATAAATTTCTCAGAATGTTGCGGTGTTTCACTGCTCACGACCTATCCCATTCTTAACAATTACCTAAGAAAACAACTATAAATCTTAAAGCTATGGTCGAGTAGGAAACAGGTATTCAGGAAGAGTTGGAAGAAGCATGCCGAAGACAGGCATTAGGTGAATGAGGAAGAGGATCGGAGGAATTCGACTTCGTTAGCTGAACTTCGTCGAGCGGAACTTGTGCTACAACGTACTCGTCATTCGGGATTTCTGGCATCCCTAAGCCGTGGTCATTCTTAGATAGATCATTAAAAAATTTAAAAAATAGCTGCCGAAGGAAAGATAGATATTCTCTTTTTCTTTCTTTCTTTTTTTAATTTCAGGACGGTAGCCAATCCAAAAATGGTTTCGCGGGTGGTATAACACACGAGACCAACTACATAACTACTTATGTCATAGAGGCATAATACTAGAATCGTAACAGTCTCTACTGATATATCTCATTGCAAAACAAGCCGATGAATTCATTACACACTATGTGAGAAGGAATGGGAAATAATTACTATATTGACCTCATTACTTCAGCTGAGGCAGAACAGACAAATCTTATGTTAGATCGCATCCAATCTACACATTGGACAGTTATATCCCCGAATAAAAAACACCAATAATAAATCAGTGTTAAGAGGAGGAGTGCTATAATAAATTTAAATATGTATAAATTGCACAGAATTTATAACAAATAGATTTACTTTTCTATATATATATATTTAAATAACTAGAGTGATTTAATAAGTATAAGTATTCTTTTCCTCGAAATGCTTATTATCATAATTGTTCTTTTATTTATTCTAGAATTCTGTTTAGTTTCCTACTCCATTTTAGGAGACTTTCCAGGGAACAGTTTCAGCAATTGATAAAACTAAAAAGACTGTTTTATCTGAATATTTTAAAATACGAAAAATTCGATGCCACTTGATCCAAGCACGCCACTGTACTGACAGGGGAGAGTTATGGAGGTGGAGCTACCAATTTAAATTTTTATTCTACAGTAATGATATATATACAGATCTCATAGGAACTACTAATTGAAGGTGTAATATTGAGCAAAACATTTCCATTTGGTTATCTCAATTAACAATCTTATTTAAGGTTTTTTTTCGAGCTGCCAAAAAATGAATATTAACTTTATTTATCCTTAAAAAATATTTAATGGGTTCTGGATTCGTATAATTTTTACAATACTTAATTTATTCGGACCGGATCGAAAGAATATGAGAGATTTTCTGCAGGTAATATTATTCTACTCATCATGTCATGAAAAATATATATATTTGAGATATATCTATAGTATGAGTACAATATATAACAATTTTTGGAGCAAAGTAGGTTCAAATATTATTTTTACGAAATTTCTAATAATTACGATACCTTCAACACGGCACCTATCCACAACAATATTAGACGGAATTTAGGACCCTATGAGCTACATCAAACAGTGTAAAAGAGACTTCTGTAAACAAATTAAACCTGGTTATATAAAATTCTTATTTGACACAAAAGAAAAAATCGATTTGCGCATTATGACATCTAGAAATCTATCTAGAGCTAAGACATAAAATTATAATCTAAAATAATTAAATTTTATATATTTTTCTCAGCTCCTATGGCGCATTGGCTAGAACATTCGGATATGGTTCTAATAAATATTTTCAACGTAGTATTACCAAAAAAAGTTTCATTAAAATTGATATCCATACGTCCGTAACCTCCAATTGTAAGATATTATAGTTAGTTACAGTATTAACAATTCAATAGGAAAGGTAATACACAAAATCGCAATAATTAATTTTTTAAGAGATTGAAAGAAAATGTACTCTGTTGTAGAGCAATAGGATTTTAATGCATAATTTATGCAGAATACTTGTGTACACTATCGATGAACAAACTCAAAATTAGTGCTTCTATACTTCGCAGTTGTTTGTTTGGATGGAAGACAAATTTAGAAGATTATAGAGCTAAGTTTGAGAATTTATCTCAGCAATCTCCGGCGTTCGTTATATAACAATGAGGATATGAGTAAAAAAGATTATAAGAATAAATATATCTATATAAGTTAAAACAATTACCAATTACTTAATCTATCATTAATTTAAATAGTATGTTGTATAGGAGTTTACAGCTGTTATATTATTTAGCAAGATATTGCGCAGTGGCCAGAATATGACATTTAAGAAGATGTCCACTTGTTTTGCTGACATTTGGATTGAGTCAAGGGGAACAGGACCAGGAGCATCCTCCAAGGCGAAATGATTCATATCAATGTTTTTTTATTCGTTTTCATATATTTTTATTTTTTGTCCCGTCTGCTGCAGCAAATGTTGCATTTCTTCTCCTTCCGCATGAATTGTTGAGCCGCTAAACAGAACAGGAATCATATCCGGATAGGAAAAAGGAATTTATTTTGTAAATGATCATTGGAAAAGCGTTGGTGAATTACCCATCAATTTATTATCCGAGTAAGTAAAACCACAAGAGTGGAGGGTTATACGCTAAAAGCTATGTAACGATTTTGTAAGCGAAAGTCTGAATCGATTTTTAAGATTGATATTTCACATTTTTCGGTTGGATTATTTGAGCATTAAAAAAAAAAATGAGCTAAAAAACTGTCCCAAGATTGAATAAAATATGGTTAATCGATTAGATAAATAACATGTCACGATTTTTTGAGTGAACGGCTTGATCGATTTTTAAGTTAGATATCTTAAATTATTCGACTAGAGAGTTTTCATTCCCTTGAGTGTTTTGAACCAATTTGGGCTAAAAAAAAAAACCCCCAAAAATCAGTGTATGTAATGTTTGTAATCAGTCAGTCGCAAAAGGGCATGTTACGAATTTTTTTTAGCGATTTTTAAGTTAAATGGTTCAAATCACTCAGTGAGATCTCGTGGATGTTTTGAAATAATTTGAGCTAAAAATACTGAAAAAATATTTAATTATATTTTAAGTATTCTCAAATGTGTGTTTGTTGTATGCAAAATCTTGATCATATGATTTGAATATAAAATGACACTACTTAAAATACAAAAAAGGTTAAAATAAAAATATATTAGAATAAAAAAAACCCAAAAAAAAAACCGACTACAGGAATGGGAAATCCTATCCACCCTAAGGGAATGGACTTCCATATCTACTCAAACATCTTGGTCGACTGATTGGGAAATTAATATCTACGTATTTTTATTCATGATGTTGTAGTCTGGTGTCTTTTACTACGGATCACAGGTGCTGACAAATAAATAATTATATATTTGTTTATTTAGAAATATCACATTCTGTCACATCAAGGACATTTGTAATAGTGTTCAGAGAACACACTCACACTCTATTTACAATAAATAAATAAAATAATAATAATACAGAAACTTAATAATAATAAATACATAAAATAACATAAAAATAAATACAATAAAATAAAATAAAAATAAATACAATAAAATAAAATAAATGTATATAAACAAAAGAACTAACCTAATCATACACACTCGGGCTTGAGTGGAGGATCTGGCCATTGCCAAAACTCCAATAGATGCTTATTTACAGAAGGTCTCTGGGCCACTGCCGCTTCAACCTTCGAGGAGGATTGTAAGGATGGGTGGTGCTGGATAGAGATTGTGCAAGGGGATTTGGATGATAGGTAAGGTTCTGGTGAAATTTGGAGAATTTTTCTGGAATAAGGTCTAGGACAAATGGGATATTAAGGTCATGGTGTAGGATTTTGTTATTTACATAGAACGGAGCATCAACTATTGTTCGAAGGACTTTAGATTGAAAGGATTGAATACGTTTGATGTTAGAAGCTTTTGCTGTCCCCCACAGTTCAAGTCCGTATGTCCATATAGGTTTCAGTATTGTCTTGTAGATAAGTAATTTGTTTTCAATAGAAAGTTTGGATTTTCTGTTTAGTAGTCTGTATAGCTGGCCGTATCGTCGGTTGAGTTCTTGTCTTTTGAGTCTAGTATGTGGGTTCCACGTTAGTCTTCGGTCTAAATGAAAACCAAGATACCGGACTGTGTCTGAGTAAGGAAGCTGGATGGAATTAAAGTGTACTGGTGGACAGGAACTGCGTCGGAGTGTAAAGATAATATGTTGGCATTTAGATTCATTAACTTTAATGCGCCAGTTATTACACCAGTGCTCAATCAAGGTGAGGTGGTTTTGGTGATTTAAGGATGCTATGTTGGGATCAGAGTTGGATGATAAGATTGCGGTGTCGTCAGCGAATGTTGCAAGAAAAGTATCGGGATGAACAGGGATGTCAGCAGTAAAGAGGATGTAAAGCACAGGACCCAAGACGCTGCCTTGGGGAACACCGGCTTTAACGGAGTAGATATTGGAAAATTCTGTTCCACAGCGAACTCGGAAGGAGCAGTCAGAGAGGTAGGATCGGAGGACTAGGTATAAGGACTGAGGTAAATGGATTTTAAGCTTGAAGAGCAGTCCGGAGTGCCATACCCGGTCAAATGCCTGTGCAATGTCCAGAAATGCACCCGAACAGTATTCTTTGTTTTCTAGGGCTAAGGAAATATGATCAACAACTCGGAGTCCTTGTTGAACAGTAGAATGTTGGGAGCGAAAACCAAACTGATGGGAAGGAATATTTTGGGATTCTATAATGGGTAGGATTCGTTTCAAAAGGATCTTTTCAAAAATTTTTGAAAGGATTGGGAGTAGGCTAATTGGTCTATAGGATGTTGAGATATTGGGAGGTTTGCCTGGTTTTGGGAAAAGGATAATAGTGGAGTGTTTCCATAGCA